TTTTCTTTCCCTTCTTCTTTCTTCCTTCTCTAATTTTATCACTTCCTTTACTCTTTGGTTCCATCCTTCCTTGTCTCTTTCCTTCCTTCCATCCTTCCCTCCCTCTTTCTCTTCTTCTCTCCTTCCTTCCTTCTCTCTTTTCTTCCTTCTTTCACTTTTTTATTTACTTCTCTCCTTCATTCCTTCTCTATCTTTCTTTCCTTCTCTCATTTTCCCCTTTTCTCTCCTTCCCTCCCTCCCTCTTTCCTTCCTTCCCTCCTTTTCTTCCCTTCTTCTTTCTTCCTTCTCTACCTGCTTCTTTCCTCCCTCCCTTTGCTCTTTAGTGCCACGCTTCCTTGTCTCTTTCCTTCCTTCCTTCCCTCTCTCTCTTTCCTTCTCTCCTTTCTTTCCTTCCCTCCCTCTTTCTCTCTTTCTTCCTTCTCTCTTTCCTTCCTTCTTTCACTTTTTTATTTCCTTCTCTCCTTCCTTCTCTACCTTTCTTTCTTCTCTCCTTTCCCTCTTTCTCCCCCTCCTTCTCTCCTTCCTTCCCTCTTTTTCTTTCCCTTCTCCTTTCCTCCCTTTCTTTGCTCTTTGTGCCATCCTTCCTTGTCTCTTTCCTTCCTTCCCCCCCCCCCCCTTGTTCCTTCTCTCCTTCCCTCCCTCCCTCTTTTTCTTTCCCTTCTTCTTTCTTCCTTCTCTAATTTTATCACTTCCTTTACTCCTTGGTTCCATCCTTCCTTGTCTCTTTCCTTCCTTCCGTCCTTCCCTCCTTCTTTCTCTTCTTCTCTCCTTCCTTCCTTCTCTCTTTCCTTCCTTCTTTCACTTTTTTATTTCCTTCTCTCCTTCATTCCTTCTCTACCTTTCTTTCCTTCTCTCAAACTTTCCCTTTTTCTCTCCTTCCTTACTTCTTTTTCTTTCCCTTCTTCTTTCTTCCTTCTCTACCTGTTTCTTTCCTCCCTTCCTTTGCTCTTTGGTTGCCATCCTTCCTTGTCTCTTTCCTTCCCCCCCCCCCCTCTTGTTCCTTCTCTCCTTCCCTCCCTCCCTCTTTTTCTTTCCCTTCTTCTTTCTTCCTTCTCTAATTTTATCACTTCCTTTACTCCTTGGTTCCATCCTTCCTTGTCTCTTTCCTTCCTTCCGTCCTTCCCTCCTTCTTTCTCTTCTTCTCTCCTTCCTTCCTTCTCTCTTTCCTTCCTTCTTTCACTTTTTTATTTCCTTCTCTCCTTCATTCCTTCTCTACCTTTCTTTCCTTCTCTCATTTTCCCCTTTTCTCTCCTTCCCTCCCTCCCTCTTTCCTTCCTTCCCTCCTTTTCTTCCCTTCTTCTTTCTTCCTTCTCTACCTGCTTCTTTCCTCCCTCCCTTTGCTCTTTAGTGCCACACTTCCTTGTCTCTTTCCTTCCTTCCCTCTCTCTCTCTCTTTCGTTCCTTCTCTCCTTCCTTCCCTCCCCCCTCTTTCTCTCCTTCCTTCCTTCTCTCTTTCCTTCCTTCTTTCACTTTTTTATTTCCTTCTCTCCTTCATTCCTTCTCTTTCTTTCCTTCTCTCAATCTTTCCCTTTTTCTCTCCTTCCTTACTTCTTTTTCTTTCCCTTCTTCTTTCTTCCTTCTCTACCTGTTTCTTTCCTCCCTTCCTTTGCTCTTTGGTGCCATCCTTCCTTGTCTCTTTCCTTCCCCCCCCCCCTCTCTTGTTCCTTCTCTTCTTCCCTCCCTCCCTCTTTTTCTTTCCCTTCTTCTTTCTTCCTTCTCTAATTTTATCACTTCCTTTACTCCTTGGTTCCATCCTTCCTTGTCTCTTTCCTTCCTTCCGTCCTTCCCTCCTTCTTTCTCTTCTTCTCTCCTTCCTTCCTTCTCTCTTTCCTTCCTTCTTTCACTTTTTTATTTCCTTCTCTCCTTCATTCCTTCTCTACCTTTCTTTCCTTCTCTCAATCTTTCCCTTTTTCTCTCCTTCCTTACTTCTTTTTCTTTCCCTTCTTCTTCCTTCCTTCTCTACCTGTTTCTTTCCTCCCTTCCTTTGCTCTTTGGTGCCATCCTTCCTTGTCTCTTTCCTTCCCCCCCCCCCCTCTCTTGTTCCTTCTCTTCTTCCCTCCCTCCCTCTTTTTCTTTCCTTTTCTTTCTCTTCTCTTTTTTCCTTCCTTTCTCTTTGGTTCCATCCTTCCTTGTCTCTTTCCTTCCTTCCCTCCCTCTTCCTCTTCTTCTCTCCTTCCTTCATCTCTCTTTTCTTCCTTCTTTCTTCACTTTTTTATTTCCTTCTTCCTTCTTCCTTCTCTCCTTTCTTTCCTTCTCTCTTTTTCCCCTTTTCTCCTTCCTTCCCTCCTCCCTTTTCCTTCCTTCCCTCTTTTTCTTTCCCTTCTTCTTTCTTCCTTCTCTACCTGTTTTTTTCCTCCCTTCCTTTGTTCTTTGGTGCCATCCTTCCTTGTCTCTTTCCTTCCCCCCCTCTCTCTTTCGTTCCTTCTCTCCCTTCCCTCCCTCCCTCTTTCTTTCCTTCCCTCTTTTTCTTTCCCTTCTTCTTTCTTCCTTCTCTATCTGCTTTTTTTCTCGCTTCCTTTGCTCTTTGGTTCCATCCTTCCTGTTCTCTTTCCTTCCTTCCTTCCTTCCTTCCCTCTTTCTCTCCTTCCTTCCATCTCTCTTTCCTTCCTTCTCTCTTTCCTTTCTTCTCTACCTTTCTTTCCTTCCTTCTCTCCATTCCACCTTCTTTCCTTCTTTCTTTCCCTCCTTCCCCTTCCCCCTTTCTGTGTATGTGTTTTGTGTGTGTATATATGCATATGTTTGTGTGTATTTGTGTATATATGTATGTTTGTGCATATATGTGGTTTCGTGTATACGTTGTATTTTTTAAATATATTTTTGGTTTTTTAAGTCTATTCTGCTGTGTTTTTCGATGTTATTATGAGTGATGGTCATTTTTTGGCCTGATAGGCATATTGTGTCCAAATTTGGTGTCAATTCGTCCAGTGGTTTGTGAGTTCTGTTAATCCCACAAAATAACATTTACATTGTTATTTATATAGATTATATATAAATAATAATACTAACAATTATTTATTTATTTATTTATTTCGCGTACTTCTACCCCGCCCTTCTCAACCCCCGAGGGGGGACTCAGGGCGGCTTACAAACGGCACAATTCGATGCCGACACAGTAATACACATATGTATAAAACAGCAATTAAAACAATTATAACAGTTAAAACAATCAACATATAACACAAATAGTAAAACTAATCTCATGCTCAGCGTTCGTCATTCAGAGTTCCATAATTTCATTCCACTTTGTCCATTCTTGTCAATCGTCAAGGTCCTTTCTTTATCTGCCCGATTGTCCGAATGCCTGGTCCCAAATCCATGTTTTCAGTTTTTTCCTAAAGGAAAGGAGTGATGTCGCTGATCTAATTTCCCCGGGGAGTGAATTCCACAGGTGAGGGGCCACCACCGAGAAGGCCCTGCTCCTCGTCCCCGCCAACCTCACTTGTGACAGAGGCGGGGTCGAGAGCAGGGTCTCCCCAGACGATCTTAGACTCCGAGGTGGGACGTAGAGGGAGATCCGTTCAGACAGATACACTGGGCCGGAGCCGTATAGGGTTTTGTAGGTCAAGACCAGCACTTTGAATTGTGCTTGGAACTGGATGGGCAGCCAGTGGAGCTGACACAACAACAGGGGGGTGGTATGCTCCCTGTATGACGCTCCGGTGAGCAGTCTGGCTGCCTCCCGCTGGACTAATTGAAGTTATTATTATTATTATTATTATTATTATTAAACTTTATTTGTACCCCGCTAGCATCTCCCGAAGGATTCGATGCGGCTTACACAGGCCGAGGCCTCAACACACAACACAACAATACAATCAAGCAAATCAGACAATTAAAAACAAAATAAAGCAAAATAACCAACAGGCAGAATACACTAAAACATAATAAAACTGGGCCGGGCCAAAAGGTGGGCACAAGGATTAAAAGTGCTGATGTGACAGGAGGTGTATAAAGGGCTTCTAGGGCAAGTGTGATGTGCGGTGTGCAACAATCATTGGTTCTGGTAAAGTGCTTCTGGGACTTGGTATTGGAGATTTCCTAATAGGGAAAGGTGCATCGGAAAAGCCAGGTTTTTAAGTTCTTTCTGAAGGCAGCCAGTGAAGGGGCCTGTCTAATGTCTTTGGGGAGGTTGTTCCGGAGTTGGGGGGCCACCACGGAAAAGGCGCTGTCTCGTGTCCCCACCAGACACGCTTGCGATACAGGCGGAATCACGAGCAAGGCCTCTCCAGATGAACGTAGTGAACGCGTGGGTTCGTAGACGGAGATGCGGTCACGCAGGTAGGCTGGTCCCAAACCGTTCAGGGCTTTGTAGGTAAGCACCTGCACCTTAAATTGGGCTCGGAAGATAAACGGCAGCCAGTGGAGCTCCTGGAACAGGAGGGTTGACCGCTCCCTATAAGGGGCCCCCGTTAGCATCCTGGCTGCTGCCCGTTGGACCAGTTGGAACAGTTTCCGAACAGTCTTCAAGGGCAACCCCACGTAGAGTGTGTTGCAGTAGTCTATTCGGGATGTAACCAGAGCGTGGACAACCGTGGCCAGAACCCTAACAACAACAACAAGAAGCAGAATTAAATTATCAGTCTAGACTGGGGAGGGGAGAACTAGTTAAAATTAACTTTGTATATATTTTAGTATCTTTTAACTGGGCGTTTTTAACACCCTGTTTCTATTGATTCCTGTTTTAATGTTTCCATATTTGTTTATCCTAATTTGCATGCGGATGCTTTTAGGCTAAATGATAAATTGGGGAATAAATTATTATTATTATTATTATTATTACTATTATTATTATGGAACTATTTGCCAATCATCACTGTTTGCTGCTGCTGCTGCTGCTGCTGCTCTCTGTGTTGACTGGGGAGAATGCGGCACCGATAGGGTTAAGCGAGGCCACGCCCCTCCCCGCACGCCCCGCCCCCTCCGCCGCCGGACCCAGTGACGTCACTCAGCCTCCCTCTCTTTTCTCCCCCCTCCCTATTCGTGCGCTCCTGAGGTCACTTCCGGAAGGTGGGCATTTCCGGGACGGGCACTTCCGGGACGGGAGCCGTGCTAGAAGGGCAGCATGAGTTGGTGAGTGAGAGGCGCTGGGGGTTGCCCCTTCGGACTCTGGGTTGCCGGAAGGCCGTGAGGGATGGTCAAGCCCAAAACATCCGCAGGGAGGGCCCGGGTTGGCCCAGGACTGCTCTGCGCCCGTCCACACCGCCAGATAACCCGGATTATCACATCGAATAATCCACTTGGTCTGCTTAGAACTGGGTTATATGGGGTCCCATCCACAAAGCTGTATAAAACCCACATTGAGCTGGATTATATGGCAGTGTGGACTCAGGGCCCTTCCACACAGCCATATAATCCAGATTATCAAATCTGCTAATCCACATTATCTGCTTTGAATGGATTATCAGAGTCCACACAGACCTATAACCCAGTTCAATGTGGATTTTATACAGTTGCGTGGAAGGGGCCACAGGCCTCTTCTACACTGCCATATAACCCAGATTATCACATCAAATAATCCACTTTATCTGCTTAGAACTGGGTTATATGGGGTCCCATCCACAAAGATGTATAAAATTCACATTGAACTGGATTATATGGCAGTGTGGACTCAGGACCCTTCCACACTGCCATATAACCTGGAATATTAAGGCAGATCATTCACAATATTTGCTCTGAACCGCATTATCTGAGTCCACACTGCATATAACTCAGTTCAATGTGGATTTTATATAGTTGTGTGGAAGGGGCCACAGGCCTCTTCTACACTGCCATATAATCCAGATTATCAAATCAGATAATCCACATTGTCTGCTTTGAACCGGATTATCAGAGTCCACACAGACCTATAACCCAGTTCAATGTGGGTTTTATACAGTTGCGTGGAAGGGGCCACAGGCCTCTTCTACACTGCCATATAACCCAGATTATCACATCAAATAATCCACTTTATCTGCTTAGAACTGGGTTATATGGGGTCCCATCCACAAAGATGTATAAAATTCACATTGAACTGGATTATATGGCAGTGTGGACTCAGGACCCTTCCACACAGCCATATAACCCAAAATATTACATCAGACAATCTGCAATATCTGCTTTGAACTGGATTATCTGAGTCCACACTGACATATAACCCAGTTCAATGTGGATTTTATACAGTTGTGTGAAAGGGGCCACAGGCCTCTTCTGCACTGCCATTTAATCCAGATTATCAAATGAGATAATCCACTTGGTCTGCTTAGAACTGGGTTATATGGGGTCCCATCCACAAAGCTGTATAAAATCCACATTGAGCTGGATTATATGGCAGTGTGGGTTCGGGGCCCTTCGACACAGCCATATAACCCGTTATATTAAAGCAGATAATCTGCAATATCTGCTGAGAACTGGATTACCTGAGTCCACACTGGCATATAATCCAGTTCAATGTGGATTTTATACACTTGTGTGAAAGGGGCCAGAGGCCTCTTCTACATTGCCATATAATCCAGATTATCAAATCAAATAATCCACTTTATCTGCTTTGATCTGGATTATCTGAGGCCCCGTCCACAAAGCTGTATAAAATCCACATTGAGCTGGATTATATGGCAGTGTGAATTCGGGGCCCTTCGACACAGCCATATAACCCGTTATATTAAAGCAGATAATCTGCGATATCTGCTTTGAACTGGATTATCTGAGTCCACACTGACATATAACCCAGTTCAATGTGGATTTTATACAGTTGTGTGAAAGGGGCCACAGGCCTCTTCTGCACTGCCATTTAATCCAGATTATCAAATGAGATAATCCACATTATCTGCTTTGAACTGGATTTTCTGAGGCCCCGTCCACAAAGCTGTATAAAATCCACATTGAGCTGGATTATATGGCAGTGTGGATTTGGGGCCCTTCGACACAGCCATATAACCCATTATATTAAAGCAGATAATCTGCAATATCTGCTGTGAACTGGATTACCTGAGTCCACACTGGCATATAATCCAGCTCAATGTGGATTTTATACACCTGTGTGGAAGGGGCCGCAATTCAAAGCATTCAGGGAGGAACGTCTCTTTGATTGTTTTCTGTGGGCCTCTCAACACAGCCATATAGCCTAGAATATCAAGGCAGAAAATCTCACAATATCCGCTTTGAATTGGATTATCTGAGTCCACACTGCCATATATTCCAGTTCAAAGCAGATGTGTGAAAGGGACCTGTGTTGTGCATCAATATCGCAACCTTTATAAACCACAACAAGAAACAAACCACAATCGAAACCATTTTTTTGAAAACAGTCATGTTATTCTGTGGCTGTAATTTCCAAACCTGAGTTTTCCAGGTGTCTTATTGATTGATTGATTGATTGATTGATTTTACTATATTTCTATACTGCCCTTCTCAGCCTGAGGGCGACTTAGGGCGGTTTACAAAACCGGCACAATTCGATGCCACAATAATATAAACCAGGGGTCCGCAAACTAAGGTCCGGGGGCCGGATACGGCCCTCCAAGGTCATCCATCCCTCGCTCAGGGTCAACCTAAGTTTGGAATGACCTGAAAGCACACAACAACAACAACAACAGCAACCCTATCTCATTAGCCAAAAGCAGGTCCACACTTCCCCATTGAAATACTTATAAGTTTATATTTGTTTAAATTGTTCTTCATTTTAATTATTGTATTGTTTTAAAGTGCTTTTGCACTACAAATAAGATCTGTGCAGTGTTCATAGGAATTTATTTGTGTTTTTTTCAACAGACCTGGCCCTCTGTTTAAAAAGTGTGAGGACCCCCGATATAAACAGTTACAAGCATATAAACATCCATAAAATTCCATAAACAATAAAATCAATAAAACATAAATCCTCCGTATCTAATTTCCAGAATCTTTATCCGATTGCAATGGTCCAGCCATTCCGAGGTCAAGTAATTATTTACTACATTGCACTTGGGCTTGATTAGTGACACTGGGGACCAAAGTCCCAAAAACCGGAAGACCAGAATTTGGGAAGCATTGCTCTACAGCAGTGGTTCTCAACCTTCCTAATGCCGCGACCTCTTAATACAGCACCTCACATTGTGGTGACCCCCAACCATAAAATTCAGAAAGGCACGGGGTGGGGCGGTGGGTGGGCAGAAAGGCTGTGCTCATGGCAAGGTCGTGAGCATAGCCCTCCGTCTGGCCCCTGCGCCCTTCCAAATTCGGAAAGGCGTGGGGGCTGGCAGCCCTCCCTTGCCCAAACGGCAAGGGTTGACAGCCATTTTGGTGGGGGCGGGGCCAACCAAGGCAGCTTTGCGACCCCCCATAAATGGCCCAATAACCCCCCTGGGGGTCGTGACTCCCAGGTTGAGAGCCACTGCTCTACAGCATTGTTTCTCAACCCGGGAGTTGGGACCCCTGGGGAGGGGTCGCGAGGGGATTTCAAAGAGGTCACCAAAGACCATCAGAAAACATATATTTCTGATGATCTTAGGAACCCCTTTGGCAGAGGAGTCTGAAGATCTCTCCACCTGTCCTTCTCTTCCTTTTTGGGAACAGAAGACCAATCCTCCCACCAAAAGTCCTCCTCTGCTGGGATTGGCCGGCCTCTTAGCCAAGGGGAGGGCTGTTTCTGAGACTCCACGTGGGGGATCGGTGGGGACGAGAGAGAGGGCCTTTTTGGTGGTGGCCCCTTGACTCTGGAACTCACTCCCTAAGGACATCAGGCAGGCCCCAACTCTGGCAGTCTTTAAGAGGAGCTTGAAGATATGGTTGTTCCAGTGTGCCTTCCCGGAATAATGATCCCATAGCACTTTGTCCCTCTAAAGCACTTTACATTTTTAGGTCTACTCATATGTCTCTCCACAAACGCCACTATCACCTGTTCGTCCATGTTCAGCACTATTTCCAATTTTAATTTTACATTTGGCCTTCCCACAGTTTATAATTGTATGTTGTCTTATTGATAATGTTATATGTTTATGTTTTATTTTAATTGCTTGTACTGTTGTGTTTGGGCTCGGCCTCATGTAAGCCGCACCGAGTCCCTTGGGGAGATGGTAGCGGGGTACAAATAAAGTGTTATTATTATTATTATTATTATTATTATTATTATTATTATTATTATTATGTGTGTGTGAGGCTGGAGGGTGGCTTGCACCAGTAAGTCCCTTCAAGGCATGGGGGTTCTGTGTGGGAAGGTTGGCCCAATTCTATTGTTGGTGGGGTTCAGGGGGCTCTGGATATAGGTGGACTGTCAATCCCAGCAACTACAACTTCCAAATGTCCAGGTGTATTACCCCCAAACTCCACCAGTGTTCCCATTTGGGCATCTTGAGTATTTGTGCCAAGTTTGGTCCAGATTTTGTTCAGGTGTGTGGATGGGGCTTCAGTGCGAACCAGAAGGGACTAGTTTAGAACACAAATGGTGGCCCAAGAAAGGAGCTCATATCCAGTATATTCCAGTTCAAAACAGATAATTTGGGATTTCCTGTCTTGATATTCTGGGAGATAGGGCTATGTGGCCCTAAGCCTGATTTCCCCATTTTGGAAGGAGATTCTTTGACCTGTGGATTTTGTTGTGCTGGGAACCACATAATGTTTCTTTGTCCTCTTCTGCCTTGATCTGATTGATGCCTCCCAGATGTTCTGGACTCAACAACTCCCTCATCCTTGGTCATGAGCCGAGCTGAGGAAGGTGCATCTAAAACATCTGGAGGACATCAGACGAGGGAAGGTTGCTATTCTGCCATTTCACGATAACTCCTTGTGTGTGCAAAACATGGCTAAGCTCGTTTTCCCACCTGTTAACAGCAGTTCTCGTTTGTGCCTTTTCTGGAAAGTAATTGAGTTATGCGGAGTTGAGAGAGATGCTCCAAAGCAATTACTCCCCATAAAGAAACACAAAGAGGAGAAGCACTTGGCTACTTTTCCACAGTAATTGGGGAATAATAATGATTCTGATGATCTGGTCTGTAATTTCAAATACTAGAAGGTTTCTTCAAGTTCACTGAATTCAGCCAAGATTATTGCTTGTGGTGGCGGTGAATTGTTAGCTAATGAAACACAAGAACATAATGAAACACAACACTACACAGAGAAGC